CATACATGTACCCTGTTCTGTAATGTAAATACAACTCTGATTGAGTAGTCTGAGGAAGAGGATTTCCTGAAGGATTTTATTTTGTATGGATGTTTCCCTATTTCTTTTGTAAGCTGGATAAGCAACATTCTTCTGCTGTGTCAGTTAGCACACAGAAAAGGGCAACTTGCCGAGTAAATGCATCTTCTCATTCTCCATTGGTCCTGAGTCTGTTTCCTCAAGAAATACGGGGATAACATTTTGTAAGTCCCACCCCCCCACACTAAACTACCATCTGAGGCAGGATGAATGCAATCCAACCTATTTTTCATTTCAAATTCCAGCCTCACAGGAAGCACATATACAAACATAAGTGATTCCATACCTTACATATACCTCCCTATAGTTCTGGGGCTTCCTGACAGCAAAGCAGTCCTCAAGCATATAAAGACATGCTTTCACTGCAAGCTAACCCGATTTGCACTGAAAAGTTATAGCTTATTTATGGTGCAGCTGGGGCTGGCACCCTGTCTGTTTCTGAGATTTCTGGGGACACAACCCCTTACAGCTAGTGCAGTAGAACAGTACAATTTATCCCTATTATTCTCTATATGGAAATACCTGGAGACGTCATCTGCATTCCTGGCCAAGACAGAGGAGGAACTGCAGGAGGGCACTGGAAGTCAACACATTTGTGACTTACTCTGCTACACTCCTATGAGGACTATCAGTACTACTGCTGGGCAACCACCATGAATGAAAGGTATGTCAGCCACATACAGCCACAACAGGCTGCTGGCATAGGTCAGAAAGTACAGTCAGGCTTGGGAGAAAACATCTATCTTGTATACAGATAGGAGGGTAAACAACAATAAGCAAGACTACAATAAACAACCCAAGCAAGACTACACACTATATTTGCTTGAAGATATGCTCTGCATCTGATTATTCCACTCTGTGGACACTACTCAATACGTAGATACGTTTTTCTTTCTCAACATAAAAGCTCTGGGAACTGCCACTTTTGTATAGCCAAATGCCTGAATTTGTAGCTTACATCTTACAGAGTCACAAAGGGTAAAACTCTCTGTGAAACTTAGGGTGGAAATAACTTGGGAACCTTTCATTTATTTTTAGAACTCTTACAACTCATGTAATCCAGATTTACTTTCTTTTCATCCTCCCAGCTTAGAGAGCCAGTCTTGCTATTTTTGAGGTGAAAGTCAAGATTTTCAGATATTAGATAATTCCTAGAGTTTCACTTTAAGGGACAAAAACAGTACTAAATATTGTGGTGGTTGACAAAATGCATGTAAACTGCCACACAGGAATACAAGTTAATACACTGAATGCACAGAATAATACAAAAGTTTTGAAAACCTGAAATTAATTCCCCATGTCACCATGTTTGTATAATTCCACCCAAATAAATAAAATTTTACAGTGTAGCAGGATGGATAAGCAGAACCTTATTAAAAATAGACCATGCATACTCCCTAGAGAAAAAATTAGGAAAAAAAAAAAAATCAATCTAATGAATAATGAAAAAATATCAGAAGTTCTCAAACTTCCTGTATAACATCTAGAGTTCTGTTCACCAAGACATGCATTAAATTTTGCATATTTACAAACTATATAGGCACTTAAATATGTAGTTTACATAATTCAGAGTATTAGAATGGTTTTGTGTTTTATTAGCTGGGTTACATTACTTTATTAAATATTATAGTTGTCTTTACTGTATAAAATCTTGGTATGTTCTACATGGCTATGTAGCAGGATGCTAGCTAAACAATGAAGTAAAAAATTACGGGTTTTTCAGGATAATTTAAAAGTCTATATAGAAGACAATACTTCTAGATACACAAGATACACTAAGTACTTAGTGAATCAATTGCATTAGTTGCCTTTTTTTTTGCCACAAAGGAATATTAAATGTAAAGTCTTGTGACTGGACTTACAGCAGGGATTTCAGTTAGCCAAATAGAAGACAATACTTCTAGATACACAAGATATATTAAGTACTTAGTGAATCAATTACATTAGTTGCCTTTTTTGCCACAAAGGACTATTAAATGTAAAATCTTGTGTCTGGACTTACAGCAGGGATTTCAGTTAGCCAGCTAAGTGTTACCTCCTCCTGCACTGAACTTTTCCCATTCTCTATACCATTTACAGAGACACTTAATTGTGCAGATAATTACCTTCCACTTTTCAATACATAATTATATATAAACAGGTATTCAATTGACCAGAAGAGCTCCCATTTATATGATCTATGGACTATACTTACCTCTCATCATCAACTCTGTTCCTCTTCCAGTTTGCAGAGCAAATTCTACTAAGTTTTATGGATTTCTGCACACTGGTGCTCTCCATTTTCAAGAAAAGACTGATCACAAAATAAAGCTTTAACTTTGGAAAAAAAAGACAAGGGGGTCTATATCACTCTTTTCACTTCCAGACCTGAAAGGCAGTGTTGCAAAACTACAGCTGAAATGAAAAAAATCAGGTTGTCTAAATTTTAATAAGTCATCCAAAAGAATGGCTGTTTTTTCTCTCTGCTTCGGTGTGCTTTATTGATAGTAATCACAATGCTAGGACACAAATCCTAGTGGCAACCTTCGCAGAGGAGTAAAACCTACTACCTCTTGTTATGCTTTGCTGGTTTTTAGCTGGATCAGGTTTGTGATCTGCTCATCACAGGAGGCAGTGGAAGTAAACAGACACAGCTGAGAGAACTGGGAAGACAAATTATCACTTGAAAACTAGTTTGGAGGTAGTTAAGATGCATGCTGCTTCCCAACAGTTACCTCTTTCTTAAGAGTAATAAATACAGCTATGCACTGAGAGCACAGAGTGGCAAAATCAAACTCAGAATGCAGAACGTTATACGTACTCTGCTGTAATGTTAATAGTGGTCTAGGTATATAAATGCAGCAGGGTTCAGGGAGAGAAATAATCACCCTTATCACCAACTAGTGTAGCTGTATAGCACTTGAAAAAGGTATTTTGTGACTCAAAGTGTCTATTTGTATCTATAGCATAATTTGAAAGCTTGATTCTTATTGCAGTTCTGAAATTATTTAGTATTTTCTCTCCATTACACCTGGTATTAGGCATCTCCATTTTTCAGGTGCTCACCTTGAGATAAATTGTCCTGAATAACTCCATCTGAAGTCAGTACCAATGGGAACTGTGGGTTCTCCACACCCCTGAAAGAACTTGAGGGACCACACCATCATAACCAAGACAGGAAAATTTAGTACGAGCAAGGAACTAAGTAGGTACTTTTGGAAATGCTGACCTTAATTTCTTTGTGCCTAACTTCCTCCTTTTGTAAAAGAAATGTGAACATGTGCCTTGCTTTGGTATTACAAGAATTGATGTGTTATGCTTGTAAGACTACACTGAGGCCCTCTAAAGAAAGACAGTATAATGTAAGAAATACTGTATCTAACATGAATTTACCAGATACATACTTATGTAAAAAATAACTGCAAAATGACACATGCATTATTATTTAATGGCATAATAATTTAACATATGCTAATATGTTGAGACAGTTTGGAGAATCTCTGTATACATAGCTTATGAATAGTGATTGTTCTCAAGAATTCACTGCATAAAAAAATCACATACCTGTCCAACAGTAGCTGCAGAACATTCAGGAGTCATTAACTAGAAATAACTTTGCTCTGGCAATATGATAAAAGGTAACTGGAAGCAATGAAGGAGATATCAGACTTAGGGGATTTCTTTTAGTTTCAGTAGTGGAAGAAATTGTGAGGTAGAGAAGAATTTGAAGATCTCAGAATGATTATCCAAAACTTCAGCTGGTATCTGGAGTGATGAAGATACCAGAGAAGACGGCTTCTTTTTGCCTTTTGTGTAAATAAAGCATGTTTTATAAGTTACACTGAAAAACCATGGAGTTCCTTGCTGTAATTGTCAGGGGTTGCTACAGGTTTAAAATGTCAAGCTGCGTACTCCTAAGAGTTCAGGAGAGCCTACTGAGGACACTTTAGGAGCTGAGTATTGCTTTATCGCCTAGAGCCATAGAAGACAGGGGACAGAGGGCATGCACTGTGGTAATGAATATGAAGTACTCATAAGTGCCCCCTGGACTCTGATCAGACTCAAGTTTAGAAAAGCACAGCATCAAATGTCTGAATCCCAAAACAGAAGTTTGGGATTTTTCTGGAGAAAGCTTGGCTAGAGCTGTGACATAGAGAGACACATACACATATATGCAGGGTGGTATTCAGTTTCCTAAACGTGGGTATCTACAAGACACTTGAGATGCCCCAAGATTTTTGAGATGTCTGCACAGGGATGGCAAATATGATGCAGAACCTTCTGAGAGAGCAGTCAGGACATCCCAGAGCATCTCAGGTGGACCAAGCAACTGTGTATAGCCAACTGAATCCCAGCCCTCAATCTTCCTCTTTTTCAGAAGGCATATAATTCAATCACAGCATTTTATTCCAGACCATTCTTCAAGCCTTGCCAATGGGGGAGTGAAAGAGCAGAGCAGCCTGTCTGAAGGCAGTTGTCACAGAGCTGATCCTCGTTCTTCTGCTGGGCACGGTCACGTCTGCTTCTCCCCTCTGAATAGACCAAACTTCTGTCCCCATAAAGGCAAGGTTTGTTTTATAATCCAAGTCACTGACTATTAAGAAGACATAGAGACATTTCCAACATATTTGAGGATATGTAATATGGAGCTTAGAGTTTCTTAGTTTTTTTTTTTAAAAAATAAAAAGAGTACTGTCAACATCAAAAGAATAGCATATATAATGTCTAATAAACAAAATGCATATTTTTGGTGACAGGTTCAGGACAGAAACTGAACAAGGTTAGGTTTTCCCTTGCTAAAGATCAGACTGTTTTCCTGTATGTCAAATACTGTGCCTAAATAGTCCCGGACATCTAACAAGCTCCAAGAGCTTTTCAAATATTACTCTGCAAAGCCATCACAGCGTTTTCTACCATTGGCCACCAAAGGGCCACAGACATACCTGCTGACGTTTCTCTGAATTTGTCACTAGTCTTCTTCTTTCGCCATTTCCAAGGTTTAAAGATTTTGCCGATGGTGGAGAGTTTGCCTTTCCTCTTGAAGGGGGGAGTTTGGGATCCTGGGGCTGGTCCATCTGAGTTAGTGATTGAAGCCTTATCCAAACCATCAACTGTATAAACAAGAAAAGTAAAGGTAACTGAAGGATGGAAAACAAAGTGGTACCCAACAGCTAAACTCCTCCACTACCAGCTTGCAGGAGGCTGTGTGTGGGTCCACGTTTTTCCTGTTCCAGAAGGCAGCCAAGAGGCATTAGACTGCACCTTGTGGTCACACAAGCCAGTCCCCACCGCAGCTAGCCCTGGGCTGCACTGCTGCTCAGCACCTCAGAGGCAGCAGGACAGAACTTGCTTCTCTCCACGTGCATCTGGCAGGTCTGTCCATTTCCGTAGTTGTTCATGGCCACTGCAGAACTTCTTTCAACATAAATTTGGGTGGATTTTCCCTAAAGCTGAATAACTAGCTGTCATCATATAGAAAACAAAACTCTTGAAATGTAAAAACATGACTATTTCTTTTGAGTAAAACTAATCCCTTCTTAAACGAGCTCTAAAGACAACTGTTCTGGCAGTGGAGAGGAAACAGGTCTGTTTGATTTTCCTAGTAATCAGTCACTCACGGTGCAGCTTGCTGTGAGTCAGGCTTTTTATCAACAAAACATATTTAACAATAAGCTTTTGAGCTGTAGCCAAAATTTAAGGAAGGATTACTTTTCTGCAAAAGCATATTGAGTGATATGAAAGCCTATATTTATCATCAATAGCTGTAACATTGAGTTTTGTGAACTAAATTAAGATTCATTCCATAACATGCCATAGCACTCAGTTAAAATAATTTCCGAGAAGTCTACTATTATCTATTTCTATTTAAGAACTGAGGTTTCTTAGAGTCTTCCATTTGTGGTCCTGCAAACACTTCAAATATACTTAATTTTATTCACATGAGCAACTTTGCTGAAGTAACTGCGATTACTTACATACATAAAATTAACACAGGCTTAAATGTTCGCAGCATAAGAGCTCTGTAATTGCTTTCATTCAACTAAACATTCTAATTATAACCAATTCGGAACAGAGTTGATGCCACTGTCAACAGTAGTAACGATAATCATAGATCATTAAATCAGACAGTGCTATTCAAAGAAGGAAATAACACTGTCCCCGTTTTACAGATGGAAAATATGAAACACAGAATTGTTAAATGCTTAATTTTATGTTTGCCAAACGGCTTCCTGAATCCTGGTCCTGTGTCCTAGCTGCTGAAAAGATACATATTCAGACAGATAACATCATGGTGCAATCTTATTATTCTGTTTCTCAGACAAATGGCATTTAATGAGTCCTATATTCGTCCTAGACTTTAGATTGATCCAGGATGCTAAAAAAAAAAAAAATCTTTTCTGTGAGAAAGCTGATGTAATGCAATCAGAGTCCAAGAAACTATTTCCAGTGTTTTGAAATAAAGTACTGGGGAAAAAAGATCCATTGTATAATTTCATTGAAGTCTATGAACTTAAAACCAGAAATAAATTTCTATGAAAATGATAGCATTTAAATCAATAAATCTGAGTGAGTTACGCCATAAAACATAAAAAATTCTGTACTGACAGAGATATGGAAACCTTCTCCAGGATAAGTTTTACAGATGCATCAGAATTTAAAGCTTTTAAGTGTTTTCCTTGGGTACTTTCTGGTCTATAACATGGAGATAAGATGGAAGAAAGGCACACAAATGGGCTTTAAATGTAAAAACCCAAGATTTTTGGTAAGGACCTGGACACGTCTACCCCTTGCACAAGTGCAAAACCCCAGCTTCCTCATTTGTGCATTATAGAGAACATAACAGTGTGATCATTAGGGAGGTTTAAGCTGAGATTTCCTTAAAATGAACCAGCTGCCACCCTACAGACCCTGAGAAGCCGGGTGAGAGGTGAGGATGAGAAGACCACCAAAGGCAGCAAGCAGCTCTGCAGAAAGAGAGAGGCACAGGACAGCAGAAGGATCTCTGCAGGGGTGCCTCACCTGGAATTAGGGATTGCACTTTTCTCTGGGCTTACAGACACCACCTATGATGTACAATCTCCTATGGAATATAGAAGCCTCTGCTGGAAACTGTGGATCTAAGGGAGAAGTATGTTTACTTGGAGGCTAGGTACTAAGATTAGAGGGATTAATTTATCCTGGCAACTCCAGTTGATATAGGAGGGGGCAAGGGCCACAGCTTGCAGTTGAGGAGAGTCAGCTTAGACATAGGAAAACACTTCTAGGAGGTGAGTGGCACAGCACTGGAGCAGGTCTTGGGAGATTTTGGAGGCTCAGCCAGGTGAGCCAGGGCAGACCTCACCTACTGCTGGTAACAGTCCTTCTCTCTCTCCTAAGGTCCCTCTGAAGGAGTCCTTCTCCCTCTCCTAAGGTCCCTCCCAAACAAGATTCCCACAGTGCTAAGGCATGTGGAAAGACACGGTTGCTCTGTGAAATCTGTGCTTGTAAATCCAAAGAATCAGAAGTGCTTGAGAGTAGGAAGGCTCTACAGAGGGACCTGGACAGGCTGGATTGATGGGCTGAGGCCAACTGTATGAGATTCAACAAGGCCAAGTGCTGGGTTCTGTACCTGGGTCACAACAACCCCATGCAACGCTACAGGCTTGGGGAGGAGTGGCTGGAGAGCTGCGCAGTGGAAAAGGACCTGGGGGTGTTGGTCAACAGCTGACTGAACATGAGCCAGCAGTGTGCCCAGGTGGCCAACAGCATCCTGGCCTGTATCAGAAATAGTGTGGCCAGCAGGACTAGGGAAGTGATTGGCCCCCTGTACTGGGCACTGGTGAGGTTGCACCTCAAGTACTGTGTTCAGTTTTGTGTTCACTACAAGAAAGACATTGAGTTGTTGGAGCATGTCCAAAGAAGGGCAATGAAGTTCAGGAATGGTCTGGAGAACAAGTCATGAGGAACACCTGAGGGAACTGAGGTTGTTTAGTCTGG